CATGTTCTGGGCTGGCGCTGTCTTCCTGTGTGAAGCGCCAGACCCATTCACACTATGAAACGATGATGATGATGTATGTTCAGGGCTGCATTACAACATTGATTGTTCGGATCACTGGTATCTAAGTCTTCCGCTGTGCTATCTTATACCTTGTATGGAAAGGTCGGTTCTTGTTCTGGTCTGCACCTATACGGTATGCAACAGCTATGGACCGTGGTGGTCCATGGAAAACAGAGAAGGTGATGCTCCTTGCCAAACTGGATGGGTGGGAGAGAGAGAGAGAGAGAGAGAGAGAGAGAGAGAGAGAGAGAGAGAGAGAGAAGGCTTTGAGATATGGAGGAGACAAAGGGACTTGTGACAGGAGAGACACAATAAAGGCGGCATCGACAGCACCATGGACCTCGATGGAACGCAGGGACGAGTACCATGGGCCTCGATGGGATTGCAGGGAGGTTGACTTGGGTGGGACCACAGGGCTCAGGTGTTGACATCACCATTTCGGTGTCCTGCTTTTCCAGCACAGCTACAGCCTCGTGGACCAACATTTGAACCAATTGATGGATATCATCCTCGCATGCAAAAAACAAAAAAAAAGACCAGCACCACAATAGCACGCAAGACCTGATTTAAACCACCAGTGCCTCCCAAGGCTCTTTTTCCTGATGCAGATTTTCTGCCGATCGCGGATTAAAAAAAAGGGGCCGGCGGGAGCATTTCTTTTTTCTTTTTTTTTTGGGTGCCTGGCTGTTACATACTGCATTCCACACGGGCCCTTTCAGGCCCGACAACTAGGCTGAGGGGTTCCGAGGGCCTGGACGCGATAGTCCAGGCCAGGCTGGCCCAAAGGCCGGACCTTTTTAGGCCGGCCCTTTGGCCTTGCGCAACCGGTTCCAGACCAGGCCCTGCAGCCGCAGTCCCTGGGCGGGAAATGGCCAAACGTTTTCGTTTGGACCAGGCCGCCTTTTAGGCAGCCTGTTTTCCCGAACACCGGTCCGGCCTGAACCACAGATCGGACGATAGATCCGGCGGTTCAGATCGGAGGCCACCGTTCAGCATCTTTCAGTCTAGATACAGCTATAATGACCGTACATTGTATTCGGGGGAAGAAGGTAGCTGGGAAAAGTACTGGTGCTCTGAGCTTGTCCAGTCACGCTGACATCTCCTCAGGAGTCTATCGCACTCCAAACCTTCAAACCCATCCTTTTTTTATCTTCTTTTTTTTTGGTTTAAATAACCGCCCGCTTTAACAGATGCGAGTGGTGGTAAGAGCATGCAATCCTACCCCTGTCTTGCAGGGGGCTCTGTTCTATTGGTGGGGGGCTACACCTGTTGGAAAGGGGGTCCAGCGTGCCCTGAGATACATTGTTGGCGCCGGGGTTTTGACCCTGTAACCTGTTTGGGGGCTCGCCGCTCAGGGAATTGTCGAGGGAGGAAGGCAGTTCCTGTCCGTCAGAGCTAGGTTGATCGGTACTGGGGAGGGTTGTGGTGCCCTCTTACCCTAGCAGAAGGGGGTATGAGATCAAGTGAGTTCTAGTACGAGGACTGAAAGCCTGCACCGACGCCCCATCTGTTGGAAGGGGGAATCTAGGATAGTAGGCAGATTTAGTCTTGCCCCCCCCGTCCTTGTATTTTCTACAGTTTTTCGAATGTCCCAAAAAGAGTTGGGTGCTTAGTGGTCCTAGGAATGTTTTTTAGGACTCTGGGATCCCTACTAACTCTTCTTAGGAGGCTTCAATGCTGTTATAGTCACTGATCTGCGGTTGTTCGATGCCAGAACGACGCTGACCGGTGCTGGGGTGTTGCCCTGTAACCTGCGATGCAGGAGCGTGAGGTCTGGCTTGGGGTGGGCTTTCCACGGGACAACCAAGGGTTGCTGCCGGGACGACGCTGGTCGGAGCTGGGGTGAGTCGCGCTGCCCTGTAACCGAGCAGAAAGTGGGGGTGTGAGACCTAGAAGAGATCGGCAGGGAGTACGACAGTTTTGGAGAACGTTGGAAGGGTTTGGGTGGGATTTCGGGTTTTTGGAATAATCGTAGGACCTCTGTGGCCTATTCTCATGCTTCTGGAACGACGGTAAGAGTTCTTGGGTATTTCAAAAAGAAGATAAGGTGAGTGGGAGAGGATGGTGGGTTACCACACGTTCTACCAGTGAGGGGGCTAGCTGGCAGGATGGGAGTATGGCATAGCAGCAGCAGAGATGGTGGCTCTGCTGCAGTCAGTCTTGCCGGAGTGAGGTATAGTGGATTGATGGTTTTTTTTCTGAGTCGTTTCTGAATTTCGCTTAATCATAAAGATCTTCCTAGACATGTCTGAAGCAGCTCCAATTTTTTCGAGCCAAAGCCGGGTAATGGCCCCGGTATCTCCATTTCCAAAATTCCATCCTTAGGCCAATTAGATTTTTCTAGTAGTTCCTTGTCTCATTTTCATGAATTTTCTGTTGAAGTTTTCTGAGCGTACTCGTTATGGGACGCTGGGCCCGGTTCCCAGTTTGTGCCAATTTGTGAGGATATGGTTGTATCTATGGGACGCTGGACCCGGTTTCCAGCAGGTGCTGCTCCCCACCAATAGATGGAGTTTTTTTCCAAAAAAAAAAAAAAAGAGATACATTGTTGAGTTGGTATAACTTGGTAAAACAGCAGGTGCTGGGAACCGGGCCCAGCGTCTCTCATGAACTTAGGTAATGGCACCGATGCTGCTAACGTTCGGGAAATGGCTGAGTGCCTTTCCGCTTCTCACTGTGAGGTTCCTTGGCCTGGATTTTTTTTATTGATTTTTTTAATTGATTTTTTTAATTGATTTTTTTAATTGATTTTTTTAATGGTGTTCTGGGGCCATTGATTACCAGGATTAAGGACCAGAAGCACAAGATCTGGGAAAGTGGGACCTTGCTGAAAATACCCAGGCACTTTCGCTGGGCCCTCACCGACCGGGTAGTTCCCAGCGGACCTGCGTTGGGCCCTCACCCACCGGGTAGTCCCTGGAGACCTGCGTTGGGCCCTTACCGTCTGGGTAATTAGTTACCTGGAAGCATCATTGGGGGGGCGTAGAATTAACCGGGGGTGGGCTTCACGCAGCGGCCAGCCTGAAGTTGCTGCTCGGCCTGGTAAGGCACATTGAGGCCTGGAACCTGAAGCCTCACACCACAATAAAAACCCTTGTATTACACTTGGCTACTTTATCGCTTTTATAAGTTTTATTTATTTATTTCTTTTTTCCCTCTTTTTTTTTCCCCTTAATTTCCCTTTTGTTTCCTCTCCTCTAATTTGTTTCAGTTCACTCATACGTGATTCATTCAATGATTAGATAGGATCCTTTCTTTCTTTTTTTTTCTTCTTCCTTTTTTTTTTCTTTTTTTTTAAAAGAGTTGCTTGCTTATATAGGATTCTAGAGTTGCTGTTTTTTTTTTAAGGAGTTGTTGGTTTGGTTGTACCTGACGGGGATTCTTCAAAGTCACGCAAAGTGTAGGCGCTTATTTTTGCTGCATGGTCTGCAAAATGAGACTTATTATGCACACAGACTCAGCAGCAGATATATTCAAAACAGAGCGCTTGATTTGCCAGTTCCTAAAAGCACACAGCTTTGGGGCTCCTTAGACACTCCTCGGGGTGTCCTCGGGGCCCGAGGAGTTTTCCTTTAGGTCGCTTGAGGATTTTCCGGCCTTCGTTGCACTCGTCCTCGGGACGATCTCCCGAGGACCCTCCGAGGACGGGCCGCGGGGATGTCCATGATCTGATGTCCGGGTGGTCGGGCGTGGTCTGCCTCCAGGCGGCGGGATAATTCAAATTTCGGTGCCGGGGTCGGAAAAAAAGAAAACGCGCACGCGGGCCTCCCGTTTCGAAATCTGAATTTTGAAAGAGGCTGGCACGGCGTAGGAGTACCGGGTGGGGGCTGCGGCGGGTGGTGGACAACGTCATCCTGGAAGAACATCCTTGGACAGTGTGGTGGCGGGGTCGGCACATGGACAACCGTTCGGCCATCAGCGTTAAGACGGGAACAGTGAAGAAGACGTCATCACGGTTGTCGTCCTGACTGCACGCGGATAAGCAGATAGCGTCCTGCGAGCTCTCACGGCATCCTTCGTCGCACCATCCCCGTGGTCGTCACGCATCGCGTTTCGGTCGTGTGTTGGCGTGTCGCCGAAGTCTGTTGCCCGAGGTGAAGGCGATGTCTTATGCACCCTGTGTGGCGATGGGGAATGTCGGCGAAGACGAGCGTTCGAAGCTGTCGACGGCGGAAAGGACAGAGGTTGCCGCGGTCGTAGCCGTTGTGCTGCTGCGCTGCCAGATGGAAAGCATTGCGGGAAGAATGAACGCGCAGCTTTGCGCACAGAGGAGGAAGGCGACACGGTCGTTGGCGGCGGAAGGGCTGGACACCGCTGCCATCTGCGACGTCGTCTTCCAGGTGTGCTGCGCCATGGGTTCTGGCATTCTGCCTAGAGCCACGCCCAGGTGGGGGATGAAAAGGAGGACGGGGGGGACGGGGGAGGATATGCGCCCTGCCGACGACGCCACGGAAGACTACTTCCGCGAGAAGCTACGTATGTCGCCACGTGTCTTCCGTGAGATTGCGGAAAGTCTGTTGCCTTTTCTGCAGCGCCATGTGAGTTTCTACAGGGGACCGTTGCAACCAGACCACATCGTTGCGTACGCATTGTACAGATGGGCGTCCAGGGAGACGTACAAGAGCAGCATGTGCAGCTTCGGCATTGGTAGAGCTTCGGGTTTGGTGGTCGTGCGGGACGTCACTGCGGCGTTGCTGACAGTGTACCAGAAGAAGGTATCATGACCAACAGGGGTGCGGAAGGTGTTCATTCTGCGTGCTTTCGCTGACAAGGGGTTCCCCAACTGCCACGGTTGTATCAACTGCACACATATCTACATCGACAAGTTGGCGAACACACCTGGTGAAGACTACTTCGACAGGAAACGACGTTTCTTAGTCGTCGCGCAGGTCGTCGTCGATCTCGACTTACGTGTGCTGGACGTTTTCATTGGATATCCGGGAAGCTGTCACGACGTCAGGGTCATTCACCTGTCCAGTCTATGGGCGAGCGCAGAGGCCGTGGAGATGTTCACGAGGCCGCCTGTGATGCTCCCCTTCCAAGTGCAGACGGGTGGCTATCTGTTGGGCAACAATGGATACCCGCCATCGGAATGGATAGTCGTTCCCTATGGCAGCACCGCTCAGCACTCATCCGAGTTGCGGTTCGACATCAAATAGAAGACCGCCAGGGGGGCAGCGGAGAGGGCTTTCGGGAGGCTGAAGGGCATGTGGAGGTTGTTCATGTTGTCACATAAGACGAATATGGAGACGTTGCCGCAGCAGTTTGTCACTGTGTGCATTTTGCAGAACATTCTCATCGATGTCGGCATCCCCTTCGATGACAATTTGCTTCGGGAGGTGGACGCGAACGGAGTTCGGCGTCGCGTGGATCTGGGGATCCAACACCCCCTGGGGCCGTCCGTGTGCATGGACAGTTCGACGGCTGATGCGTTGATTCTAAGGGATGTGTTGGCGGAGCGGATGAGTGCTCGTTGATAATGGCCGGCGGAAGATGTCCACGTCACGCTTGTAACACAAGTGGAGGACGCGAGTTTTGAGAGAGGGAGAGCGGGCATTGGAGAGGATTCGCGTTCCGAGCGTTTTGTGGAGGTTTCAGTGTGTTGTCACGTAGCGTATCGGATGGAGTTTATGGTTCCCCTATATTACGTATGAATTTGCAGATGATGAGTCAGTAGTTCTTCGTGTGTTGCTTATCGATGTAGAGGTCTGTGGTGGTAAAGAAGCAGTCCCTACAAATCGGGTGAGGGTGTTGACATGTGGCAGTCGATCTTCGGGCGTAGTTGTCTGTTGCAGTTCTTACAATAGGGTTGATAGTGTTTCGTATACACATGCATGCGTTGGGTTTTTTTTCCCCCCACGGGTCCTTTTTTTTAAACGGGCTTCAAGCCCGGTTGTCGTGTGTTCATAGTACCTTTGGAATGGAATTCGTTAGGTTGTTCCCGACACTGGATTGTCGTCTTCTTCGCGTCTACGCCTGTGTGATCGGTGCGCCTGTGTTTGGCTTTGTTCCGACGGTGTGCATGCAATCAGTCTGTAAACATATTGTTATTCAATCATCACAAACATCTCTTCTGCCCTCCTATGCAATGTTTCGCTCCACGCTACGAACTCACACCATCGCATACAAAAACTATGACAATGAAAGCATGCACGATGAACATGCTGTTTTCCACAGCAATGGCATGAAAGGTCGTCTTTCAGTACAGGAAATGAACATGTCTTCTGAGGCAGTGGAGTGTCTTCTTCTTCGCGTCGACGTGGCATGGAGTGCGGGGGACAGTCTGTGTGTCTGATTGGTGCGTCGATGTTTCGTTTTCTTTTGATGTCGTGCATGCAACCATTTTGACGACTTGTTGTTAATCAATCACGAACCACCCATTCCACCATTCGTATGCAAATCTTTCAGTTGATGCGTGAAACGCATAACAGCCCGAAAACAAACAACGAAAACGAAGTCATGGGCGATGAAAAAGCGTTGTTCCACGCCCATAACACAAAAAGCTCGTCTATGAATATGCGAATTGCAAAACAACACACCAAGGACGCATCACACCCGTGTCATAACACATCGACGATGTTACATATAAAGGTAATCGTCGGTCCACCAGCGATCACCTCGTCCGTTGCTTAAACAATTAAAATTCAACAACAAGAACGGGAAGGCATGCATGAGAACCGGCTTGGCACGTCGCCAGCGAACGCCACCCATCAACTGCACACCCGGAGAGGTCGACCAGACGTGGTCGTCATCGGCAGCACCCACTATAGTTCTCGTCTGCAACCCTGGCAACCAGCCGCCACAACCCCCTCCCCCCCCCCTCCCCTCCTCTCCCCCCCCACTACAAAACCATCGCCTCACCGGACAATCAACCATGGCGCAGTACAGAAGGAGGACATGAGAAGCACAACCATCGCCATGGAGATGATGATCCACAGGCTATCACCATCAGCTCGCCCCACACAATCTCGCACCCCCCGCCCATCGAGACGACGATCCACAACCTGTCTGCCCTATGACGTCGCCAGCGCGATTATGGTCCATAAGCTACCTACCCCCGCCGCGCTCTAGGCTCCCACTGAGGGGAGACGATGATCCATGAGCCACCTGCGCAAGCTACCCCCTAACCCCCACCCCACCTCCCCCATCGTAGGCCTCCGCAACCGAACATATGCGATTCTTAAGGGAGTGGCCCATCACCGACCAACCACTCCCCCCACATAGATGGTCGTCTGTGTCGAGACTACCTACAAGACCGCCGCCATTGTTTCCCACCATCCTTTCCTTGTCGTCGTCTCACCACGTGTCCTCCGAATCAATCTCCGTCCGCACCTTCATCCAACTTCGCCGCGTCTTCTTCTTCGTCTTTCGGGGGTCCAGTCCCCAACTAGTTCAGGCGTCTCGCGTGCATAGGCGACCGTAAAGTGGCATCATGTTGGAAGGAGACGTCGCATGATGCCCAATCGGGGATGTACGGAGGAGGGTCCACCAAAGTCATGGCGGGCTTCCCCATTCACTCAGTGACGACGGTGGCTGCTTGAATGATGTGACGGTGTGCGTCGAACGATCGATGCATTGACACAACGAGTGTGGGCTTGGCGATGAGCGACGAACAGGGAGGCGTCGAAGTGGGCACGAAGATCATCCCTGATCATTTGCATAAGCCACATCGCAGCTGCGAGCAGAAGCCTCATGCAATCGGCGACGTTCTTTAGCATGTCATACGAGATTCGCCCTTCGTCCATAGACTCAGCCAAACTGACCGTGCTTGTGAAAGCTCCGACCAGTTGTTCCACGCTTGCCTCTTGATAGGACGCTAGCTTGTCGTCCTCGTGTTTTTCCTCTATGTTGGCGCCGACGAACCACAAGGGGAGTTTCATGTCCAATTCGAGCGTGTTGTGGATAACAGCAGGGCTTACGCACGTCCGCCAGTCCTCTCCAAACCACATGGCGTGGGCGATGTTCGTGGCGGCGTGCTTCAATATGTAACCGTATGCTGCGTGGTAGCCACGCGCCCGGCTGGCGGGCTTGAAGATCCACCCATGGATAACGCGCAAGGCGATGCTTTGCACTCTCATCGCCCTCTCTTTTGCCGCCTTCAGAGAACAATGCTCCGTCGTATGTCTGGCGCTTGTACCCCCCTGGCGATGGCAACAAGGTACAACCGCGTCTCCTGGGTCAATTGAAAGAGCCCGTGTCCCTCCGTCTCGTTCCAGAATCGAAGGTCGTCCACCCACAGCCTCGTTGCCGCCTCGATGCCCTCTTTCACATACCCTCGTCGTTGCCTATTCACCAAAGGATCGTTGTCGTCTCCATCCCCAGGGCCTTCCCCAGCCCCAGCGCCTCCACCCGCCCTCGAAGACCCTGCCACCTTGCGCCTCCATCGCGGGGGTGCGTTGTGCTGCCTGCCCGCTCCCATGTACCGCCGAACTCAAATCCCCCCCGCCGTCCTTAACGGGCTGTTGACATGGCGTCGCTGGTGTTGAAGGCCCTCGAACAGACTGCTGGCCCTCCGGGGGCGCCGTCGCACGTGTGCTCGTTACAGCCCCCGCCGCGCACACCGCCTGGTTGCCTGCGATGGCGCGCACCTCCCTCGGCGCAGCAGCGGCGTCAACGTCGATGACCACATCCTCCCTCGCGTGCGGCCCCCCACCTCGAGGTTGTTGACCAGCCTGCACTACAGCCACATCGTTGGTCTTCAAAGCAGTCTGGGTGCGAATGACCGTTTTCACGCGGCGCCCTCCTCTTCCGCCTCTTCGAGGCCGTCATCTTCTTTCGTGCTCTCGTCGTCGCTCACCCACTCGTCCCTCACGCTTTTTCCGGTACTCGAAGGACCGACCGCAACAGCCTTACGCTTTTTCGGAGCATGCCTTCCCTTCTTCTCGACGACAGGCGCATCCTTCGGAAGATCGTCCCTCCCCCTTTTCATTTGTCCACCGCTGCGAGAGTTTGTCATCGCAAACGAAGAAAGGCGCGGAGGATGCAGGCAACGATGCAAAAATCGCCGCAGAAGACACACGCGATGATGTGGTTTTCGTTGCAGACGAGTGAGCGATGGAGCCGAAATCGGTGATCCACGTGCGTCTGTTGTCGCGGAGAAGACGACCAGGCGATGTGCGGCAATGGTCCCTGTGCGCAAGCGGGCAAAAACGGCGATGGCTGCCTCCACAGATGTGTGCGCCCACCACTGTGTTTGCGGCTCTGTCTCCTTACAACCAAGATTTGGGCGACGACAACGGTTTGGAGAGCACTTGCGGTTGACGGAGAAGACGAAGGCGCGTTGCTGGATGACGATGATTGGACGTTGAAGACTCAAAAGAAGCAGTAAATGATCTGGCGAGAAGACACTGACGTAATGATCAGTTTGCGTGCGCGGGAACTAGGAGGGAAGAAAGCAAGCACACCGCGTGTGACATCGATCGGCACTTTCGGTTTCGCCCCCGCCTGTTCACCAAAGCGTAGCCCTCTCGCCTCACCTGTCTTTGTCGTCCTCCTACTCAGATTTTGTCAATGTCTGACGGAGACAGCTGTGGAAGCTCGCAGGGGCGAATGCCACCCACCCAAACCCATCTCATTCGACGAAAGTACCCTCAACCAATGACACCCACAACCCCCATGGCAACCCAGCCCCCTCCTGTCTCTTATACACATCTAGATGTGTATAAGAGACAGGCTGTGGAAGCTCGCAGGGGCGAATGCCACCCACCCAAACCCATCTCATTCGACGAAAGTACCCTCAACCAATGACACCCACAACCCCCATGGCAACCCAGCCCCCTCCCCTCAAACACACGCCCTCCCCCTTCCCCCCAAACACAAAACAAATTTCAAAAGAAAAAAGAAAAAAAAGAACACAGAAACAAGAGCGGACGCACATTCATGTGGCCAGTTACAATCCTGTCCATGCCCGCCCGCACCCAGCCCCCCCCCCCCCTCCCCGCCCCAACCCCCAAAATGCTGGCAAGCACCCAAATGTCGAACTTTTGGTTAAGCATTCTAGCAACCGCATCCCCTCATTTCTGTATACGTAGAACAAGTTCCATGCTTGGGATGYGTTTGTCATTCCAGCTGGCAACCAATTCCATTTACAGTCGTCTTCACGGTTTGCAGATATCCATTAAACACACAAGGACAGAATTCAAGACGCAAACTTTCTGCATGCACATCTTTGTGATGACAACTAAGCAACCCCGAAATGTACCTTCGGCGCTTGCCCTTCCTAAGACTGCTTCCTCATGAACACCCGCCCCGAACACATTATTGGATGGTGAGAGGAGTTAACACAGCTGATGGTAGGGAGATTGACAAACACCGAATGGAAACCATTCACTAGAGAGAGAGAGAGAGAGAGAGAGAGAGAGAGAGAGAGAGAGAGAGAGAGGGTTGAGCAAGCACAAGTCATAAGACGTCATAAAATTCGTAGTCTGAAATTGGATGTTAAGCGACCGAAAACAGAAAAAAATGGTCACCCGTGAACTGCGAAGCTTGCTGATAAAAATACACGGGAGGTGAGATCGTCTCACCTTCATCCCATGACGACGAAACACTACAAAAGCAGGAAAAATAACCTAAAAAAAAAAAAAAAAAAAAAAACATTTCATTTGCCTTTGGCGATACTGTGAACGAAAGCAACACACAACCTATCCAACACGCTCACCCAGCTATAGAGACGTGTGGCACGGGCGAATGTCGGTCCTTTTGGACCCACAAGCAAGCACAAAGCAAGCACATACGAGAAACTACGGAGGGGGCACTCACCATTCCTGGCATGACGGCCCGAAAGCAGGACAACGGTCCACGCCTTGACCTGGGCACTCTCTTCCAGACAGCCGTGTCTACCGGTCTGGTATGGCCTTCGCTATCTCCATCAGCCCGTGGCACATCATCTTGCTCACTTCATTCGACGCCACATAGGGTTTCTTCTGCACCTCCACCTCCGCTTCCAAAGCTTCGCACTGCCGAATTTGGATGGAGCACTGCCGAATTTGGATGGAGCACTGCCTCTTGCTAGCGCTCTCCAAGGTCGACGCCATCAGCGTCCCGTGCTTCTCCATACACTCGGTGAGGGCTTCGAAAGTCTGCTGCCTCACGTTCTTCCTCTTCCCAAAACCGCCAAGGCCGCCCGTGGTCTGTGAACAACCCCTCGTCGAGTTGTCGTCTTCATCGTTGCCATCGCCACCCGCATCCCCATCGCCAACAGATTCAGGAGTGCCCGAAGACCCGGATGGAAGTTGCACACCTCCTGCTCCGCCGGTGTCTGCGACAGTCTGGGGGTGTATTGTGTGACTATTTGCGATCGATCCCTTGATCTCAACGTAGACGGCCCGATCCATGGTGAAATGGAACCTCATTGTCAGCCTCTCCTTTGCCGACAACCAGAAGAAGTCTTCCTTCCCAAACTCACCCTGAACAACTTGAAGTGCACCTTCTTGAACTGCTGCATCAAATTATTCCACTTCTTCCCGCATTTGTCTGCCTGCCTGTCGACCCCGGCCTTCAACAACCTCTCGTGAACGTCCGCCCACTTCCATTCCCTCGACCACGTACGAGCGAGCGAGTGGCCCAACCCCTGCAGTTGTGCATCCCGGTCCCACTTCGCCTTGATGAGGGCGACCATTTGCTCCACTGACCAGAAGTTCTGGCCACCCTCTGCCTCCCCGTCGTCTTCGGCCTCGCCACCCCCACCCACCACCTTCTTTGCCGTCGGCCCGCCGACGCACAAGCCCTGCTCTTACCGGCCCGATCGCCCATGCTAGCCGTCCGCAATCGGGACACGTTGCCCGTGTCGTCGTCCTGTGCGTCGCACTCGCCTTCGTCACCGTCTTCGTACTCGTCGCCTCCCCCGACTGGCCCGTCTGCCTCCAATGCCCGCTCCCCCACGCGCAATCGCTGCACCCCCTGGGTTATCGATTCCTCTTGTTCTCGAGGCATCTCCTGTTGGTGTTCCTTCCACACGTGCCTCCCATCTCGTTCGGCACCCCCGCTTGCTAATTCTTTGTCCGTCGGCCCGCATTGAGATGCACGTCAGGGCTTGCCGCAACCTCCCGACAATGGAGACGGGGACCGCATCCACCGTGGACGACCGACGCCACCGCGGGCTACTGATGTCGTCGACGACTGCACTCTCGACCACTCCCTCCTGTTATCCAAGGCCTCCCATCCCACGGACGCACCCTTCGCAATTCGACCAACCAATGTGGCCTGCCCCTCCTCGTCGTCAGGGTGAGGGTTCACGAGAACTGTCTGTGTGGCGGTCGATGAGCTCCCACTACCTAGCCTGAATGACAAATTAAGGGCGCCATCAACGTCGTTTTCGCGGATGCCTTCCTCCAAAAGTTCAGTGTACAACCGCCTGTACGTGCTACGACGCCGACCGCACGACTTGTTGCCCGCCCAGTCCTGGGTGGACCCGCTACCCAGCAGGATTGTCCGTGACCGAGCTTCATCCGCCTCCCCATCTGATGAGTCGGGTAGAGGTTGCTCGTGCGGTGGGAGGTGCGCGTAGGCTGATGGGTCGTGCGCTCTTGTACCGTGAGTAGTGTCGTGGCTGGGGCGGTGGTTTGCGTGTTGTTCGGACGACGTCCTGATATGCGCGTGCCGTCCGTTCATGCTGATGTGCTTCTTCGCCGATCGTCTCTTGCGTGTGAGACCGGGCACCCGACCCAGGATGCAGACGTGGAAGATGACGACAAGGAGAAGCAAAATGACGACCAGGACAAGCAGCAGCAGCCTTCGGAAGACGTCGGCCATGAACGACACGTGGGGACGGGCAGCAAACAGATGACGACAGCGTACCTCCAGCAAACGGCAAAGCAGACTACAGCATCCGACAAAAAAACGCCCTCTGCCGATTTACATTGCAGTCTGCGGTGGGTGGCAGGAACGCTTGTCGCCTGAAGTATTCGAAATTATCGACCATTGGACCGTTTTCTGTTTGGCGCCGGGCAGCACAAGGGACTGCGAACGCTTGGAAACGTTCACGGAGGCCGGCCTTCCCCCAACGGTTACCGTTGCAGTGAGTTCCCTCGAAGGCGAACGTTGGTGGCCGAACATGTCCGTGCACTGCCCAGTAGGAACTGCATTGGACCAGCCTCCAAAAAAATTGTCATAGTCAAAGGGTGCCGCCGCCGTCCTGATTTACGCGGATACTCGACCTCCGAGGGACCTCGTGAGGTACCTCAGGGATCGCCGCCAAATGCCTGTAGCCCGAGGACGCCCCGAGGACAACACGAGGAAATGTTTTCACATTTGCTTTTCGGGGATCGGCCCCGAGGATAGGTGGAATGATGATTTCCTCGGGGGATTTATGCCCCCGAGGAGTGTCTAACGAGCCCCTTTGTTGCGGTTCAATTAATTTAAGTATGGTTAAATTAACTTTGAAGTTTGAAGTCTTTAATACTAGGCTACCAGAGTAGCCCAGGACCACTTGCCCAGCCGGGCCAAAACAAAATTATAAAATTGTAAAGTAATTTAAATGATTGTTTTATTAATTTCGGTGTGGTCTTCAGGCAAAAGTTGTTCAGTTTATTTGTCTGCATAACATAGTGTTTTTTTTTCGGACTTCTTTTATTTTTTGCTGGGACCCTCCTTGGTCCTTGCACGGCCGCGGGACGCCCGGGAAAACAGGGCGACTCTGGCGGCCCGGCTGGTAGCCTAGCTTTAATATATAATATGTGTGGTCTTGTGCCTGCGGCTGCACGTATTTTCTCTTTTTTTGGCCATAGGACACAAAAGCACTGCATCCTGTTTTCCACATGTTGAATAGTCAAGGGTGCCAGTGTGTGGTGAAGGATTGCTCCCGCATGCGCTTGTTGAGAGAGAGGCTGAGAGAGGGAACACCTCGTGGGGTCGCCTGCCGAACATCTTGATGCATGGCTGCATGGCACAAAAGCAGTCATAAGGGACCCATGCGATTAGATAGTAGATACAGGTCACACCACGCCAGGGGGAGAGGGGGAAAAAAAACAAAAACGCTGTCCATCAAAGAAAGTGAATCGTCAAGGTAAGTTCTTATAAGTTATAAATAAAAAAAGCATTGTGAAATTTTTGAACATTGAGGAAGTTCATGAATCGTCAAGGTAAGTTCTTGTAAGTTATAAATAAAAAACCATTGTGAAATCTTTCAACTTGAGGAAGTTGACGTACCAAGTTGACCCCTAGTTGACCCCTAGTTGACTAACCCCTCACTCTAGTATCTCCCAATGCAGTTTTTTTTTTTCTTTTTTTTTTTCCCCATCTATTGGTGGGGAGTTACACCTGCTGGAAAACGGGTCCAGCGTCCCTTGACATATAATTCTGAACAATTGTGACCGAGATTGCTGGGAAACGGGCCCAGTGTCCCTTGTACCTCTTCACCGTCATCTGAGTGGCGCCAGATTTCTCTGATCAGCCCTGGTACTAATTTGGATAATCAAAACTGGGAGAAAGAAGGTGGGAGATGAATGAGAATTAAGTTGACCATACTACTGCTTTACAAAAACCACCTGCAGAAGCACATAGTAGATTTCCTGTTGCAACCACCTGCAGCAAACCAAAGAAGACACCCTAAAAAACAATCAGAAGGAAACCAACCCAGTCAGATATCTCCCTAATAGTCCCTATCAATCATAGCCATACCAACTCAAGGGGACCAGAGCTAGAGCAGAGGGAGGAAATGGGTCTGGGAATTCTGATGGGGGGCGCAGCGGGATAGGTGAGTCTACAGTGGTCCAGTCGTGAAACACCAGACGGAAGTCTCTGGGTACTTCCTCATTTTGCCCTTCCTTGATACCTCCCCTTCCCCCACCCTCTCGGATCTGACCAATGTTCCCTCCTTGGGACCCCCCTAGCCAAGCAAGCGCCACTGGATTGCTTGATGTGATGTAGGATTTCTTTTTTGGAAGATAAGAATCAAATTTTTTCTTTAACCTTGTTCCACTGGATTGTAATGTCTGTCTGCACTTGTAGTTTGATTGCCTCTGTTAAGCAGTTGTTCAAGTTCTTCCCCCGAATAGAACATAGTACGGTCATTATCACTTTATCTATAGACCGAGTGTTGCCCTCAAAAATACAGCTATAGTCACCGTACGTTGTATTTGGTGGAAGTCGTTAGCTGCTATCTGACGTCCCCATGCCACATCGCAGGATGGGTTAATACCATGTATTACAACGTGCAGCTAGGCTACCAGAGTGGCCAGGGGCAAGTTGCCCAGCCGGGCAAAAAAAAACATGAAAAAGAAAAAGAAAAATAAATTAAAATTAAAATTATTTTTTATTTCAAATTTGGTAAAGAATTCCGATGTGACCCCTAGGCAAAAGTTTTTCAGTTTAATTTTGTGCATCACATAGTTCTTTTTCAGTTCCCTCCTCCCCCCCCCTCCTCCCGCTGGGCCCTTGGCTGGTTCCCACACGGCACGGCCGGGCCGCCCGGTCAAACAAGGTGACCACCTGAGCGGCCCGGCTGGCAGGCCGGACATACAGTCATTATAGCCTTATTTAGGGCAACATTCCATGGTGCAAACCCATCTTGGCATACCAGTTTCCAGAAATCAACGTACCGTGGCATATATCAGTTTCCCAAAAAACAACAACAGAAAAACAGAAGAAACAGTAAATGGACCATGGGGCTCGTTAGACACTCCTTGGGGCATCCTTGAGGCCGAAGGAAGTTTCCTTGGGGGTTTTGAAGGAAATTCTGGCTGTAGTTCCACGTATCATTGGGGTGGTCTCCCAAGGATGATTCCTTTCGGCCGCCAGCGGCCATTTTCATAATATTATAGTCAGCCGCGGGGAGGGCATTGCCTTGGTCCATTGGGTGATGTCCGTCTTGCTATGGTGTGGTCCAGCTGCTGAAGGGGCGAAATTTTGAAAGGTGCTGGCGAACGGGAAAAAAAAAAAAACCCTTAAAAAGCAATGGACCTACCCGTTCGAAAATCAAATCTCAAATTGGGTGCTGGACGTCACGACAGCGACGTGGGGCTGGTGGCGTCCATATCTGCGACGGTGGAAATGGGCATTTGCAGTGGCGCAGTGGAGTCCTCGTACATTGTCACAAATTTGTGAGCGCCCCGCGAAGGTCCATCCCCATCACCTCTGCATGCTGTCGCGCCTATGTGTTGACTCGAGCACACGTGGGGAACGTCGTCGGGGACTTGGCGCTGAGGTTACCGTGGTCGTGGCGAGTTGGTAGGCTGTTGTATTTTCGTGGTTCATGAGCATTGCAACACACGTCGTGTCGATGGAGTGCACAGCGATGATGAACGTGCAAAGTTGACGACGATCGAGAAGACAGCTGTGGCGACGGCCATGATGGACACGCTCCTTCGTTGTCAGCAGGAGATGCTGAGGGCATTGGGCAGAATGAGAGCGCGGATCCGCACACGGAGGAGGAAGAGACTTCATCAAATCCCGGTCGAAGGGCTGGATACCGTGGCCATCACCGAGGCTGCAGCTCAGGATTGCTGCGTCATGGGTTGCAGTGTTCTTCCACAAGCGACACCGAGGCAGTGGATGAAAAGGAGGACGAGGGGGACGTGGGAGGATCTCAGGCAATGCAAAGATGCGACGGAGCAGTACTTCAGGGAGAAGCTGCGTATGTCGCCACGTGCCTTTCGGGCGATGGCGATTGCATCCATTGTGGATAAACGCCCACGGGATGCGCTGCCGATGTCGATGTTGACTGCAGTCGGTGTCAATCCCTCATCTTCTCTGCTGGAGGCCTTCGATAGAGGTCGGCCATCAACAAGAGAGGAAGCACACGTGGAACAGGAGGGGCACGGACACGCAAAATTGTGACTAGGAGCAGCAGTGGCAACCTTCAATAGAGGTCGGCCATCAACAACACGTACAACGGGGCCGTAATTCTACGACGACGAGGACAGCAAACGACACACACACTCTAATGGGTCGTACGCCCTTGCACTGCGCGCCGGGCTGTGGCCTGCGTAGCAGCGGCAGCCTTCGAAAGACGTCGGCCATGAACGGCAAGTGGGGAAGGGCAGTAGCTAGACGACGACAGTACACC